GTATTGCGTGCAGTTCTGGAATTCACATTACAGGACAGATGTGACTGCACTGGTGAGGGTGCAGAGAAGGTTTACCAGAATGTTGCCTGGCTGAAATTTAATTTATGTCGAGATATTGGATAGAATTCGAGTTAATTTCTTGGAGCAGAGGAGATTGAGGGGGGACATGATTGAGAAGTATAAAATTATGAGGGGCATAGATTGGGTAGACAGCAAGGAACTTCTTCCCCCTTGGTGAAAGGGTCAGTGGCTGGGGATACAGAATTAAGGTAAGGGCAGGAGGATTGAGGAGATATGAAGAAAAAGAATCACACAGCGGCTGGTGATTATTTCATAGAATCATAGAATTATAGAATCCCTACAGTGTGGAAACAGGCCCTTCGACACAACAAGTCCACGCCAACCCTCAGAGCATTCCACCCAGAACCATTCCTCTATAACCCACCTAATCTACACATCCCTGAACACTATGAGCAATTTAGCATGACCAATCCACCTAGCCTGCACATCTTTATAACTCACTGCCTGTAAGGGTGGACAAGGCAAAACATCAAAGAAGTATTTAGGTGTACACTTGCGATGCTAAGATATTGGAATAGTTAGGAATGGTTAGGTGGATACTTTTGACCACCGCAGACTGGATGGGCATCGTGGTGTCAATTTCTATGGCTCAACAATCAAATTATTTCAAAAGGTAATTGGACGGCCACGGGAATATGTGAAACTTGAATTTCTAAGATGATGAAAAAGCAGAAGGAAACTGACTGGATTGTTTTGGAGAGAACTGACTCAATGACCATAAGGTTAACTCAAATGCTCTATTTCAAAATAGCGACGGAAGATCTTTTACAGCCTGCCCACTGAGACGGCTGATAGGGGCCTCATGTCATCATTTTTGAGAATCCAGTAAGCAGTACAGTACCAAGGCAGAGATTTGCATTTCTCTACAAACTCTTGAAAAGTAAACTTGAACCGACAGCCTTGCTACTTTCAGTTGAGAATTCTGCGCTCTGAACCATGTGTCCGATGAATGCACAGTCGGCAAAAAAATAACCTTTTTAAGGCATACCCTCCAAAATCTATCTGTACCTCCTGAGAATAAATTCAGATCAAGGATATGATAAAATATCTTCCATAGATGCTGCTATGTCAACAACTACAGTGCTTATTTTAAGGACAAAATGTGAGTTGCGTGGCCTGGATGCAGAAACATTGTCTGAGTCACAAATAATTCAAACCTCGAGATTTTTAATTAACCATTGTAGACTACTTGTAAAGGTTCCTTCAATAAATCAGTCATTTAAAAGAGAACAAGTTGTGAACTTAAAGTGGCTTTGTGAGGTCATTAATGTTTAATTCGCATGGAATGACATAAAAGTGGCACCACTTCATGAACTGACAGACCCCAAGAATTCTATTGGTTTGAGTAAGACTGCAGGGGTGGGAGTGAGATTAGCTCAAGAGATGGATGTCTATTGGTTGAACCTCTCTTGTTTTGCTGTCATCACTATTCTCTAATTGAATAGTGAAGTCTTTACCCAGGTCATTCCAGCTATATAACAGTCAGAGTCAGCGTGGTTCAGACAGTCAGTCCGAAAGCAGTGATGGCTCTCTTTGTGTTCCTTGCGCTTTTCTGCTTCTCGCCAGGTGAGATGTTGGCCGCTTTGTAAAATGTTTTCTCTCTAGTGCATTGACAGAGACCCAGGGAACGCACTGACATTCAGCATTTATCACTTCACAGCATCGCAGTTCTTTTGGTTTTTATTCAGTATTTAACTTACTGCCACTTCTCTTCTAGGCATGCCCACCTTGTTGAAGTTCTGCTCCTCTCTCCAACGGGATTTCCATTCCAATCTTGTTTTTTTTTGTCCACCGGCATTAATTCCACTGTTGCTCCTGGTGTGTGACCAGGTATTTGCTAAAACTCATTTCCACAGCCACATCACATTCCTCAGTATAAACCGAAAGAATTGCGGATGCTGTAAATCGGGAAGAAAAACTGAGGACAGGTCACCGGACCTGAAACGTTACTTGTGATTTTTCTTCAGATGCTGCCTGACCTGCTGAGTTTTTCCAGAAACATTTGTTTTTGTCACATGCCTCAGTGACTGCCTCTGGTTCAGACTCACCCTATGTCGATTCCAACTCAAGTTTAATCTCTTGTGCTTTGAAGCCACCCAGGAACACAAGTAAATTTTCCAGCCTTCTGAACTCAATATCGAGTTTAATAACTTTGAGACTTGAACTCTACGATGTCCTAACCCCTAACCAAAACAAAAGGCCTTGTGATCATATTCTCTGCTGCTACACACATCCCATTGTTAACCACTAACAGTCTCCATTAACAACTATTCACTCTCCTAGCCAGGTCCTTATCCACTCCTTTTTCTGTCCACCTGCTCTTCTTTCTCTTTGGGCTATATCCCCAATCAACTATTGTTTACTCCTTACCAACTTTGCGACATTTTCCCAGCTCTGATTTCTCTTTTCACATGCTGCCAGACCTGATGAGTTATTCCAGCAATTTCTGTGTTTCAGATTTACAGCATCTGTGATTCTTTTGGTTTTTATTTTGTCACTTCATATTGCATAGAAATGTAAGTTATCCCATTGTGCTATTGCTCTACAGGTTGTGATCACAAATATTCCCACTTTGTGTCCTCAGCGGCATGGATGTGTTTCATCTTAATTTGGTGAATACTGAGGTGGGCTGTCTGTCCATATTCTCTTACCTATCCATCATTTCCTCAGCACTAGGACAAATCTGAAATGTGAAACCTAGGCTGCCAAAATCTCCCCTCAAACACGAAGTTAACAATTCTTCACCCAGCTGTAACATTACAAGCATGATAATTTGATAAACCAGCTCTATGTGCACAGTGCTCTTGAATGATCTGGGAATCCATATTAAGTTTGATTCTTTTCCTGACTTTTTTGGCATTCTTAGGTTCTTCAGAAGGTGATAATCATACTTGGATTCTGAGCTGTGGGCTTACTTTTCCACATTCATTCAATTCAGAGTTCATACAAGATGGTATTCTGTGTACTGCTAATAATTACACATGGGCCAGGAATTCATAAGATAGTTGCCAATGTTATGGGAAGGTAGAGAGACCAGAAATAGTATTCCTCCAATGTCTTTGCTAACACATACTAACTCCACAAAGAACCTGAGACTGTGTTGCTGTTTCTGAATTTCTACTTCACTCAGTTGGAAGTGTTTTACTTTTGTACAGCTCTCAGAACAAAACAGAATGTTTAAGACAGCTAGCTGTCATCACAACATGTGACTGTAATATGGGAGGTTTTCCCATCCCCGTGCCTTACAAGTAACAGTGGCTTTGAGCTTTTCTTTTGCAGCAGGATCACTTCAGAGAACCACCAGGATCTCTGCAACTTATAGAAGCATCTGGTCGTAAAAATATCCAGGAAATCACTTCACTGAAGTGCATTGACTTGTGTGCTTCCCTGTGGATGTAGGGAGTCAGGCAAGCATGGCAGTCAGCTTTGATCTCATAGCAGATTTTTATCAACGTGTCAAAGATGTCATCAAATGCATCTGCATTGATTTCGGAGCACTTTGACAACATTTAGGTGTCTTTGTCAATCAGAAAAGGTTCAATCCTCTAAATGTGCAGATTGTCTATCTGTAACCACATCACCCAAAATTCTAGGTATGAACACAATGTCCAGGAAATGTCAGAATACCTACATTTTGTAGCACTCTCAGATGCCTGGAATTTTTTGTGGGTTTCTCTCTGCATACAGGGCTGTCCACTGGGGTAACAAGAGCTGATAACATCTGTTGGGAATTCTCACTGAGGCCAAGGAGAAGAGCAATGTAACACAATCTTCCACCAAAGCCAAGCAGACCACGAGGGCTTCTGCAAAATAAGTTTGGAATGTTCGGAACACACAGTCGGTACATCCCGGAGAGATTGTCACGTATCATGTTGTATGAAGCCTTCCACAATCTTATGCAAAATGAAGAAGTTCATGAGTGAAAGTTGTCCTCTGATGTGGAAGGGGGAAGCCAGCAATCTTCAGATTGGCAAGGAAGTCATTCACTCTCAAGAAAAGGCCTGAGCAATGTTTCAAGGCAAATACTCTCCAACAATCTTATGGCTACCTGATTCTAGTTTAGCTGAACTTTCTAGTACATGCTTCCTTTTCATTTTGCGCTATTTGAAATAAAGGAAGCCCTCTTAATTTTAACATGCTGGTACTGCGAACACTTAGAAGCAGCAAACAGTATGCACTAACCCAGCTTTTTGTTTTATCTGTACCTGACCGCAGCTACATCACTGAGTGAGCATCTGCAATTTGGGGCTCCTGGAGGTAAGCAGGACTGTGGGTCTTGCCTCTAGGAAAAATCTTCTACTCATTAATTTGTCCTGCTGTTCTCGAGTGTCAGAATATTTACTTATGTTAATCAATTTAACAGTGTGTTTACTTTTAATGCAGGTTTCCAGCATTCACTGTATTTTTACATTTTGCACATCCATTGACCAACTGTCTTTGGGGTTGAGTTGGCTGGCTGGCTGGTTTAATGCAGTAACAAATTCCCACACTGGCTGAAGTTACCATGAAGGATTCAGGCCCTACAGGCAAGAAGATTAGACCCTCAATCTGTTTTGAGATATTTATTTGGCATTTATTTAATTATGGCAGCAAGTAGCAAATGCTAGAAGCGCAAATCAATCCAGGCAGCATCAGGAGGGAAAATGAAATAAGGTTTCTCGTTCAGATCCATCACCAACAGTCAACATGAATATGGACACAGGCATCCAAATCCAAGGGCTAAGGTGGGAAAAACCAAAGAGCAGCTCCTGCTCATTATTGTTGTCTAGTGATTCCAGTTTGAGACTACTGATTTGATTTTACCTCTGAAGTCAATGGGTTTGAAGTGGGAGTGAACGAAATTGAATTGGGAATGGGAGTGAATTGATATTAGAACTCGCATTGGGCGATGGGAGTAACTCTCTGTTTTTGTCTGTCAGCTCTGGCCAGTTTTGAACCGAAGAGCGATTACTGCACTCAGGTCAGCAACAAGTGTGAGAACCTGTTGACAGCCTCAAAGTGCAATGTGTTGCAAGAATGTGTGAATAATGAATGGAGCCAGCCTAAAGTGGTAAGTAACATCAAGTTAACATCCCTGCCAAACAAGAGCAAGAGAATGAACTGTGTACCAAACAAAATGAAGCTCCTTGTTTTAGGGAAGAGAGACCATATCATAATTTTATCCTATGTTTCAGTAAGTGAGATATTGGTCAGGAATACTTTATTCGAAACCCTTGGGGTCAACTAGCAGGTTGAGCAGTGGGTGTAGTATACATGGATTTAAGTAAGGCGTTTGATAAGGTTCCCCATGGTAGGCTCATGCAGAAGGTAAGGAGGCATGGGATAGGGGGAAATGTGGCAGATTGGATTCAAAATTGGCTGACCCTTAGAAGACAAAGAGTGGTAGTGAACGGAAAATATTCAACATAGTGCTCAGTTACAAGTGGTGTACCACAAGGATCTGTTCTGGGTCCTCTTCTATTTGTGATTTTTGTAAACGATTTGGATGAAGGAGTGGAAGGGTGGATTAGTAAGTTCGTGGACGATACGAAGGTGGTTCGAGTTGTGGATAGTGCAGAGGGCTGTTCTAGGTTACAAAGGGACATTGATAGGATGCAGAGCTGGGCTGAGAAGTGGCAGATGGAGTTTAACCCTGAAAAGTGTGAGGTGATTCATTTTGGAAGGACAAACTTGAAAGCAGAATACAGGGTTAACGGAAAGATTCTTGGCGGTGTGGAGGAGCAGAGGGATCTTGGGGTTCATGTCCACAGTTCCCTGAAAGCTGCCACCCAGGTGGATAGAGTTGTTAAGAAGGCGTATGGTGTGTTAACTTTCATTAATAGAGGGATTGAGTTCAAGAGCCGTGAAGTTATGCTCCAGCTATACAAAAGCCTGGTTCGGCCACATCTGGAGTATTGTGTCCAGTTCTGGTCGCCTCATTGCAGGAAAGATGTGGAAGCGTTGGAAAAGGTGCAGAGGAGATTTACCAGCTAGGGCTTTTCTCTTTAGAATGACGAAGGATGAGAGGTGACTTGATAGAGGTGTACAAAATGATCAGAGGTCTAGATAGAGTAGACAACCAGAGACTTTTTCCTAGGGTGGAGGTAGCTATTACGATGGGGCATAATTTTAAAGTGAGTGGAGGTAGATATAGGGGAGATGTCAGAGGTAGTTTCTTTACTCAGAGTGGTCGGGACATGGAATGCATTGCCAGAGATGGCAGTGGAATTGGCCTCATTAGGGGCATTTGAGTGGCTATTAGATAGGCATATGGAGGATAGTATAAGGTTGGGGTGGAGGTTAAATAGACCTTAGGATTAGTGTAAAAGTTCAGCACATCTTGGGCCAAAGGGCCTGTACTGTGCTGTTCTATGTTCTAGTGCGGTGACCAGAATATGTACAGTACTCCAAATATGGTCTCAGCAAAGTCTTATACAGTTGCAATGTGACTTTCCAACTTTTATATTCAATGCCCTGGCCAATTAAGGCAAGCATGGGTATGCCTCTTTACCACCTTATCCGCTTGTGTTACCACTTTAAGGGAGCTGTAGATTTGGACCTAAGATCCTTCTGTGTATCAGTTCTCTGGAGGGTCTGGCCACTTACTGTTCTTTACTCTTGCATTGATGTCCCAAAATACATCACCTCACACATGTCCAGATTAAACTTCACCTTCCCTTTCTCTGCCCAACTTACCAGCTGATCTTTATCTTTCTGTATCCTTTCATAGACATCCTCATTATCCACAACGCTACCAATTTTCATGTCACCTGCAAACTTACCAATCAGACCACCGATATTTTTATCCAACTCATTTTTATATATTACTAACAGCAGAGATTCCAGCATTGATCTTGCAGAACACCACTGGTCACAGACTTCCAGTCAGAAACGCCCCACGCACGCACGCAGGCGCACACAGACATGCACACACACACACTGGCGATCCGGCAATTTTGTATTTAACTTTGTAACTCACTTTGGATTCCATGCAATTACATTCAAACTACCTCCAATCCAACTTTTTTTCCAGTTTCTGCCTGACGCAGTTGTAATTAGTCTTCCCCAAGTTTGGCACTTTCACCTGAGGTCCAGTGTTATCCTTTTCCATTTTTACCGATTAATGATCACTGTTCCAAAATGTTCCCCCACTGAAACCTTGATCACCTGACCAGGTGCATTCCCTAGTACAAGGTCTTGTACAACCCCCTCCCCAGTTAGATTGCCTACATGTTGTTGCAAGAGTTCCTCCTGGATATATCTAACAAGTTCTGCCCCATCTAAGCCCCTGGCTCTAAGGGAGTCCCAGTCAATATTGGGGATATTAAAATCATCTACTGCCACAACCCCTGTTGTTTTTACATCATCCAATGATCTACTAACATATCTGTTCCTGTAATTCCCACTGGCTGTTGGGAGGCATAGAGACTAAACGTATCATAATGATTGCATATTTTCTTACTCCTAAATTTTACGCATGTTGCCTCGTTGGACGAGCCAAGATATCCTTTCTTAGTACAACTGTGACATTCTCCTTATCAGTAATACAACTGCTCCACCCCTTTTATATCCGTCTCTATCTAGTCTGAAACATCCAAACTCTGGAATGTTGAGTTGCCAAACCTGCCCTTCCTTCATCAAGGTTTCTGTCATAGCTACCACATCGTATACCCATGTACTAATCCATACTCTAAATTGTCTGCCTTAACTGCGATACTGAACATAGAACATAACAGCACAGGAATGGGCTCTTCGGACCACAATGATGTGCCGAACATGACAACAAATGAAACTATCCCTTTTGCCTGCCCTTTGTCCATATCCTTCCATTCCTTGCATATTCATGTGCTTATCTAAAAGCCCCTTAAACACATTTGTCATATCTGCCTCCACCACCACCCCTGGCAGCGTGTTCCAGACTCTTGCCACGCTTTGTGTAAAACAACTTGCCCCTCACATCTCCTTTGAACTTTCCCCTTCTCACCTTAAATGCACACCCCCTAGTTTCAGACATTTCGATTCTGACCGTCAACCCTATCTATGCATCTCACAATTTTATAAACTACTATCAAGTCTCCCCGCAGCTTCCACCACTCCAAAGGAAACAACCCTAGTTTGTTCAGCCTCTCCTAGCTCATGCCCTCTAATCAAGGCAGCATCCTAGTAAACATCTTCTGCACCATCTCCAAATCCTCCACATCCTTCTTGCAATGTGAACTGAATGCAATACTCTAAGTGTGGCCCAACCAAAGTCTTATTAAGCTACAACATGCCACCCTGACTCTGGTACTTAATTCCTAACCAATAAAGGCAAACACACCATATGCCTTCTTTACCACCCTGTCTACTGGCATGGTCACTTTCAGAGAGTTATGGACATAAACACCAAGATCCCTCTGTACATCAATAATGTTCAGGGTCCTGTATACATTTCCCTACCATTTGGTCTCCCAAAGTGCAGCACCTCACACTTACCCAGATTAAATTCCATCTGTCATTTCTCCACCCATATCTGCAACTGATCTATATTCTGCTGTATCATTTGACAACCTTCTACATTATCCATAACTCCGCTGACCTTTGCATCATCTGCAAACTTACTAACCCATCCATCCATATTTTCATCCAAGTCATTTATTTATATCACAGACAACAGAGGTCCCAGTACAGATCCCTACAGAACACCACTAGTCATGAATCTCAAGCCTGAAAAACACACTTCCCACCACTACTCTCTGCCTTCTATGGGCAAGCCCATTCTGTATCCATGTGGCCAAGTCACTATGGATCCCATACATCCTGCATATTCGTTGCATTAAAATAAATACACTTCAAACTGCCAGTCCCTCCGTATTCATTCATCTGCCCATTCTTCCTCCTGGACTTACTTGAATTAGCCCCTCTTTTGGAGTCAAACACTTCACATGCCCACTTATTGCTCTTACTCCCACCCCTTGCCACACTAGTTTAATCCCTCCCAATTGGCACCAGCAAACCTCCCTGCCAGGATATTGCTGCCATTCCAGTTTAAGTACAACCTGTCCTTCATGTACAGGTCCCATCTGTCATGGAAGAGATTCTAATGATCCAGATATCTAAAGCTGTCCCTTCTACACCAGCTCCTTAACCTTGCATTCAACTGTATTATCTTCCAATTTCTGACCTCACTAGCATGTGACACATGGAGTACTCCCAAGATTACAACCTTAGAAGTCCAGCTTTTCAACTTCCTACCTAACTCCCTAAATTCTCTTTGCAGGACCTCATCTCTTTTCAGCCTATGTCACTGGTACCAATATAGACCACGACCTCTGGCTGCTTACCATGCCACTTCAAAATATCCTGTGCCCACTCCAACATCCTTTACCCTGATACCAGGGGGGCAACACACCATCCTAGACTCTCTTTTGAGGCCACGGAAATGCCAGTGCCCCTGACTGTAGAATTCCCTATCACAACTGCTTGCCAAATGATTCAACCCTCCCTGCTGCAGCAGAGGATATCACTGGTCCGGATGCTGCTGTTGCTTTCCCCTGAGAGGCCCCCAGCAGTGTCCAACATGGTAGATCTGTTTGAGAGGGGGATGGCCACAGGGAAATCATGCATTACCTGGCCACGCTCACTAGTCTTCCCACTGGTTACCCAATACGTTTCATTCTGTGAAGCCCTTACTAGTGGTGTGACCAACGCATTAATGCATTCTCAACCTCATGGATGCTCCATCGTGAGTCCATCCGACTGAACACACTTCCTGCATACTTGGTCGCCATGGACTCTGAAAGTGTCCCTGGTTTGCCACATTTTGGAGGAGGAGCATTCCATGGGGTCAAGTTCTCCTGCCATTGTGATCCTTACCAACTACAAACAATAATCTAGGAACCAATGAAATAACCTGTCCCACTACTTACCCAGATCAGTTTTCCCGCTCTTGCTCTCTGTTCCTAACAAACTCCAACGCCAAAAGTAAATACTTTATTCTCTATCTCCCTCCAGACACATTAACATTCACTCAGTCTCTCGACACGGTTCATGTGCAGCCAAGCCTAAGTCACTTTTTACTGTACCTCAGTCCCTCTCTGAAGGACCTCAGTCCCTCTCTGACAGACCTCAATGCTCACTGTCCTCAGCGCTGCTCTGACTGACCTTAGCCCAGCCCTGACAGTCCTGCATGCACCACCATCTCAGTCTCTATCCCAACTGTCCTCCGTCCCAATGAGAAGAGGAGCTACAGACTTAGTGTTATATAGATCTACAGCACAGAAAAAGGCCCTTTGGTTCATCACATATGTGCTGGTCAAAAGCAACCACCTAACCATTCTCATCCAGTTTCTTAACACCTGGCCCATGGCTTATAAGCCTTGTACACATCCAAATACTACTTAAATGTTGAGGTTTCAGAAAACCACCACCCTTACAGGCGGTGAATTCCAGATTCCCCACCACCCTTTGGGTGAAAAAGCTTTTCCTCACAACTCCTCTAAACCTTCTGCTCCTTCCCTTAAATCTATGCCCATGGTCATTGATCTCTCCACAAAGGAGAAAAGTTCCTTTCCTCTCTACCCTGCCTATACCTGTCACAATTTTAACATCTCAACAATGTTCTCTCACAGTCTCCTCTGCTCCAAAGAAAACAATCTTAGTCTATCCAATCTCTGTTCATAACTAAAACTCTGCAGCCCAGGCAATATCCTAGTAAATCTACTTTTTTGCACTCTTTGCAGTGCTATCACATCCCTCCTATAATGTGGATTTCAGACTGCAAACACGAGTCTAGGTGCGGTCGAGCAAATGTTTTACACACTTACAGCATTCCAGTTAGCCTGCAGGATGTGGGACTTAACAGTGACTGCACTACAAAAGGTAACCCTTTTGTTTTAAAACCATTTAAGGACACCAAAATGTTGTGGTATTGCAGAGGAGTACTTTCCTCCTTCTTTATTTTATATGCATGTTCAGATTGTGATACCAAGGCAGTCAAATTGCTCACCGGCACTCACTATCAAAAGAGCTACCTTTTGTTCGTAGCATTCTGAGGAAAGTGATGAATAATCAAAGTGCTTTTGATAATTTATGTAATGAGTATGTTGCAAACAAAATGGGTTGATATTCATCGCAAACAAAAATTTCTTTCTTTTTCAGACAGACAGTCATTGTGAGAAGTGTATGAGCAAAATGAAAATTATCTCCGAGAAGATGAAGAAAAGTTCTGGAGAGGTACCACCGAATATTCTTTGCAGTCAGCTTGTGTAGAGGTTCATATATGGAAGTTTGCAAATTGGTAAAGGCCTTTGATGGATACTTCATAAATCCAACAAATTGATGCACCACCTTCATGTTTGTTGGTCACTTCAACTTTGAATCCCTGTGTACTTTCCCTCAGTTGTCGTCAGTTCTATGGTCTACTATACCTTGTTTTCTATTGTACCTTCATAACCACAGATTATCATTTCATTCACAATCCATTACACTCTGGAAGATCATTGATTATTTTGTGCTATTTGCATAGATGCTCTTCTAAAACAATGAAAGGACATTTACAACGATTTCTGTCCATAGATGCACCCATTGTGTGTTTAGAAAACTGCTGGTTTAATCGAAATTCATTTCCCAGTATCCATCCTTCATACCTAAGAAATGGAGACCTTTGCCTTTGTAGGTTGCAGTAAGGTTTCTTCCATGGCTTGGAGGGGGATAACTTCAAAGCTTTAGGAAGGTCCTTTGATTCTAGAGAACTGTCTAAGCTTTTGAGGATTGCTACCATGGCTGCTAATCCAAACTGTAGAAGTTTTCACTTTCTTCTTTACTCCCATCTTTCAAAGTTATTCTATCTTGCCTTTCAAGCTAGACATTGGGCCGGCTGAAAGATCTCAGCAAATGCTGAGTTGGTCCCAAAAATTATCTTGTCATCTTCAGGATGACATTCATGGGGACGACAGCCAAGCACTGTTAAAAACAATTTTTGTCATTTGTCAGGATCTGTTCTGTGGAAAATGACTAAGTGCTATGAAAAGCATTGTAAATCTTTGCTAGTGCACGGAGGGGCATCCATCTAAGTTTTTGACTTGACGTTGAGGTGAGGCCAGTTTGCTTAGCTTCTTTTATCTGAACTGTAGATCTTCTTTTTTCCTATTGTTTCAGTCCCTCAGCTTAGTTTGTCTTTTAGAAGTGAGCACCATTCTATCATATAACTTCATCTTTACCTTCAATGACATTGTTGTCAGGTCACTATACTGAGCACTTTACACATGTCTGCAAAGCTCACGCTGTTGCACATAGCACCAGCATCTATCTGACAGTGCACATTTACTTGTTACTGTACATAGTTATCGATCCGTTAGTTTCAGATATTTACTTATCAACTTGTTCAAACGCACACCCCTGGAGCAGGTAGAATTTGAACCCATACCTCCTGGCTCAGAGGCAGAGACATGAGGCCACTCTACCACCCGGATTCCCATCACCCTCTAAATGAAAACATTTTTCCCTCATGGCCCTTCTAAACCTCCTGCCCAATCACTTAAATCTAAGATCTTTAGTCATTAATCTCTCCACAAAGGAAAAAGTTTCTTTCCTGTCTACCTTGTCTACGCCTGTCATAATGATAGACATCTCTATAATTTAAAATTTATTATAAATGTGTCTTTATTCCAACCACAGCTAGTACTGCAATATCAAAACAATAATGACTCACGCAACACTCAAAGTCCTGCACAAAGTTACAGGCTGAAATTTCAATTGCTGTAACTAACAGTATCTGCCACTATAGCTATTGAAATCCATTCATTTTGGCAGCAGGTTTCTGACAGCATAGCCCACATCTTGCCTGTTCAGTCGAGAACACAGTGACAGGACATATCCTGACTCTACAGGCTTGATTAGGATAATCTAATGAAGGAAGCATATGTAAGATATAGGCAGCAGGGATCGAGTGAATCCCTCGACGAGTATAAGGGCAATAGAAGTATACTTAAGAGGGAAATCGGGCGGGCAAACGGGGTCCATGAGATATAGCTTTGGCAAGTAGGGTTAAGGAGAATCCAAAAGGTTTTTACAAATACATTAAGGACAAAGGAGTAACAACGGAGAGAATAGGGCCCCTTAAAGATCAGCAAGGCCACCTATGTGTGGAACCGCAGGAGATGGGGGAGATACTAAATGAGTATTTTGCATCAGTGTTTACCATGGAGAGGATATGGAAGCTAAAGAATTTAGGGAAATAAATAGTGATATCTTGAAAAGTGTCCATATTATAGAGGAGGAGGTGCTGGACATCATAAAATATGAAAGTGGATAAATCCCAGGGACCGGATCAGGTGTACCTTAGAACTGTGTGGGAAAGCTAGGGAAGTGATTACTTGGCCTCTTGCTGAGATATTTGTATCATCGATAGCCATGGGAGAGGAGCAGAAGACTGGAGCTTGGCTAATGTGGTACCATTATTTAAGGAAGATGGTAAATAAAAGCCAAGGAACTATAGACCAGTGTCCCTGACAATCAGCAATGGGTAAGTTGTTGGAGGGGATTCTCAGGGACAGGATTTACATGTATTTGCAAAGGCAAGGACTGATTAGGTATAATCAACATAGCTTTTACATGTTGGAAATCGTGACTTGCTGAATTGATTGAGTTTTTTTGAAGAAGTGACAAAGAGAATTGATGAAGGCACAGTGGTGGACATTGTCTATATGGACTCCAGTAAGGCAATCGACAAGGTTCTGTATTGTACACTGATTAACAAGGTTAGATCACATGGAATGCAGGGAGAACTAGCCACTTCAATACAAAAACCAGAGATAATAAGAACTACCAATGATGGAGTCAGAGATAACACAGTGTGGAGCTGGAGGAACACAGCAGGCTAGGCAGCATCAGAGGAGCAGGAAAGCTGACATTTCAGATCAGGACTCTTCTTCAGAAGAAGGGTTCCAAATCAGTTTTCCTCCTCCTCTGAAGTTGCCTGGCCTGCTGTGATCCTCCAGCTCCACACTGTGTTATTGATACAAAACTGCCTTGAAGGTAAGAGGTAAAGGTGGTGGTGCGGGGTTGTTTTTCTGACTGGAGGCCTGTGACCAGTGGCATGCTGCATGGGTCAGTGCTGGGTCCACTGCTTTTTGTCATTTATATAAATGATTTGGATGTTAATGTAGGAGGTATGGTTAGTAAGTTTGCAGATGACACCAAAATTGGTGGTAGAGTGGACAATGAAGAAGGTAACCACAACGGGTCCTCAATCCCATGAGATGACGAGTGGCCAATGGAGTTTAATTTAGACAAAAGTGTGAGGTGCTACATTTTGGTATGGCAAATCAGGTTACAACTTGTACATTTAATGGTAAAGAGCTGGGGAATGTTGCCAAACAAAGAGACCTTGGAGTGCAAGTTCATTGATCCTTGAAAGTAGATTTGCAAGTAGACAGGGTAGTGAAAAAGGCGTTAGGTACCTGCCTTTACTGTATTGAGTATAGGAGTTGGGAGGTCATGTTGCACCTGTACAGGACATTACCTAGGCCACTTATGGAATACAGCATTCAATTCTGGTCTCTGTGCTGTAGGAAAGATCAGAAATGATTTACAAGGATGTTGCCAGGATTGGAGGATTTGAGCTGTAGGGAGAGGCTAAATAGGCTGGGGCTATATTCCTTGGAGCATCAGAGGCTGAGGGATGACCTTATGGAAGTATATACAATTATGACAGGCATGGATAAGGTAAATAGTCAATGTCTTTTCTCCAGAGTTTGGGGGTCCAAAATTAGAGAGCATAGGTTTAAGGTGAAAAGGGAAAGATTTAAAAGGGACCAAAGGGGGAAATTTTCCATGCAGAAGGTGTTGTGTGCATGAGGTGAGTTGCCAGATGAAGTGATGGAGGCTGGTGTAATTTTCACATTTGAAAGGCATCTGGATTGGGATGTGAATAGGAAGGGTTTAAAGGGATATGGGCCAAATGCTGGCAAATGGGACTAGATTAATTTAGGATATCTGGTCAATGTGGAAGAGTTGGATGAAAGGGTCTGATCAGTGGTGTAGATCTCCATGACTCTATTTCAATTCCAGAAAGGCGGGAAATCGGGACTGACAACTTCAGCACTAAAGCAAAGGCTGCCCTCTACAGATATGGGCTTGGTCCAAGTCCTGTCTCTTTGACCTGGCACACTGAGAGGCATATTCCGTGCTATAGCAATCTCATTCAGTGAAGGCAGTTGGTATTTAGATGCCTAGCTGGCTCCTTGAACACTGTGTTAAACCCATCTTCACTCCTCTGCAAAGATGAGAAGTCTTGCATTCAAAAGTAAGCTTCAAAGATTAAGCCACTTCTGCCATTTTCATGTGACTGAAACCAGGACCCATGTTTCTTGTGGTGGATAACATGGTTTTTCCTTCATCTACCAAATACAACACCAGAGGGCTATTACTATGGCAAGCCACATAATTTAAAAGGAAACAGTGTGCAAAAATATTTCTCCAAACCTATCAATGAGGATTAATCTACAAGCTAACAGGCAGTGGACTCGTTTCATGATCGATTCTGTGAACCAATTAGGGCTATGCCCTAATAAATTACAGACTGTTCGGTGGTTAAACTGCAGTGATATACCAGTGATATTCCTGGGTGGCTATCAATCTGCTTTCATGCTGGTTTTAAATATGGAGATGCTATAACAAGTGAGAAAGAGAGATAACATCCAAAAGAGAAACTCAATAGACACGATGTCTGAGTAGTAGATGTGTTGCCAGGGAGAATTAACTAGTTTGTGGTGATTGACAGTTAACTTCCAGTCTTTGTTTCAATTTTAATCCAAGCAGCTTGGTTCAGGTCAAGGCATTCCCTTGAGAATTAAACCAGAGAATGGCAGTTATCATCTTTTGTTGAGTTAGTCATGCACAGTGCACATGTGTCCTTTCTTACAAAGAATGGGGTCCTGTGCAAGCTTGATGCCAAAAATGAATGCGTCAAAGCCATCCTGCAGGTTAAAAACTTCCCTGATCTCCATGGCAACACCTTTACTAACCAGAATCTACTTGCCAACCAATCAGCACGCTCTTCTCATACTGGATAAATGTTGGCCTTGCCCTCAAATTGACATTCTTGTGAATTCTCATCATGAATGCAAGACCAAAGGTTTTGCCAAAATCTGTAACTTATCAGCAATTTTTAATTTCTGTCCAACCAAACCATTACATGTGGATTGACGGAATATATGCTGTCCAGCTGCAAATGCAAAACTAATATCTGGCATTGCGGCCTGTGTTTGATGTACTTTATTATGTGTTTGCTATTGCACATCATATCCTCTCCACTGTACCTTTACCTGTACCAGTCAGCTGGTTTCTCATTTTTTTACAGGAAGAGATGAAAAATGTGCTGCAGGAAGGTTGTGAAACGATCAAAGACCAAGAGCTTAAACAGCAGTGCCACAAATTTGTTGATTCCGATTGGCATGTAGCAGTTGATTTCATCAAGGAAGATGTGGTATGTACATGACCATGAATGGGCCACTTTGAGCTTTACAGATTAAGCCTGGAGTGCCTGCATTTTATCCCGCTTTTTATATAGCTGTGATACCCTTCTGCCCTTTAATGCTGTACTTTGAGGTGCACCAGCACCTGTCATTGCAATGTCACTGCAAGAACACCATGTGTACCTGGGCAACTAGCTGATAAAGCTACATCTCAGGGGTGATCACCTACTGTCTTGGTGCTCACTCACTTTGAAAGTGCCTAGATGCTCACAGTATCCTTTTCTTGCCTTCCCTAGCATTGCCTTTTAATGCAGCAAGTTTGTCACACCTGTCAGCAGTGATCAGTCCTTGCAGTATGGCACTGTGTTACATCAGTTTCACACTTAAAACAAATGCCAGCAGTTTACAGTGCAACAACAATGCATGTTTCTATGTTCCTATATGTTTTACCATAACACTTCAACAGTATTTGGATATTCAGTTGCATTGCCATAGCTCCGGGGCTATGGTCCAAAAGCCAGAAAATAGGATTATTGTAATCAGATCTTTGTTGACCAATGATGACACAATGGGCTGAATAAGCTCCATCTGAGCTATGAATATGCTGTACCTTCCCATTTTCAACCCCACCTAGATTTCAAACGAAACATGACTAGCTACCAAGAACCCTTCTCCCTAAGCTCTTAGATCTAACAGCCCAGGATCTCAGCTGCCCTATGAAGTAAGCGATCCTTTTTCGGGCAGAGACCTGGAGGTTCTGTTGAATAGGAGTGTTGTATATGCAGAATATTCTCTCCCCCCGCCTCCCAGGACCAGAAGTGGTGGTCACAACATCAAGCCATGCCCTCCTAGTCCAAAGTTGCAACCAGGGTCAGTGCAGTTTGGCATCTGGAGGAATATGTAACAATTTAGGAAGGAGGCCAATGCTCTACCACTTTAAGTATTGCTTTCCACATGTTGCCCAATTGCTCTGGTTGACCTCAACACCAAATATCACCAACCCTGCGTGCCCTCTGCACTGCCTACTTACTCTCCCCATCTGCACCAATAGTGACAGCTGTGACACCCACTTTTAGCATTCCTATTACAGATCCATCTCTCATTCAAAAGGAAGGTGACCCCAATAGGACAGACAAAGTCACAATGGTAGTGGGCAACCCAACATTTAGCACCTATTCCTTCTTGTGGAGAGCATTATGGCTCTGAACATCCTCAGTGGTTAACTGACTGTGATCAAGCCCCTGAACTGGCTGGGACATCCTGAGTGAAGGTTGCCCTCTTGACTTCTCAGGTCTACTGACAATTAGACAAGCTTCCTAGGTTGGGTCTGTGCTGAAGGACAAGGCAAGACAGAAGCACTGTGAGTCTGGTGTCTTTGGCTGAGAGACAAAGCTCAAAAAGGCAAGGCAATAGAAGGCTGGGATCGTGTGTGTCCATGAATGGAGAGATGCAGTCTGTCTTTTTCATGAGCTGGATGCATGTCCCTGATTTCACAGTGCCCTTGCTGCAGTGTTGCAATGACAGCTGCCAGTGGTATGCAGTCAGTGGATCAGACAGGTGCCATATGAGGGTTCTCACAGGCTAGCACATGTCACATGTTCATATCCATGGATATGGGGTTGTGTGCGGAAGGTGTCCTGGAATGTGCCCTGAGATGTTGGGGTCTGCTATTCACCTGGGGGAGCTCCTTCAGGGCAAGCAGTGAGCTGAGGTCACCAGGTACCTGCTCTTTATTCCATTCTTGAAATTTCTCAATGCCTAGTTTGTTCAACACATTTGGTAAGATAGGAAGCTGAATATTAATAAGGTGAGGTATGCCAATAATTAAGTGTTTAACAAGACATAGTCCCCCATAATTTGTAAATGCCTCTGTTTAATGAGAAACCTGACTCTACATCAATATGCAGTGACATGCTCAGACATTTGAGAAGGTGACCAAACAGGTGGATGAGGGTAAAGTGGTTGATGTGGTGTATATGGATTTCAGTAAAGCGTTTGATAAGGTTCCCCATGGTAGGCTATTGCAGAAAATACGGAGGCATGGGATTGAGGGTGATTTAGCGGTTTGGATCAGAAATTGGCTAGCTGTAAGAAGACAGAGGGTGGTGGTTGATGGGAAATGTTCATCCTGGAGTTCAGTTACTAGTGGTGTACCTCAAGGATCTGTTTTGGGGCCACTGCTGTTTGTCATTTTTATAAATGACCTGGATGAGGGCGTAGAAGGATGGGTTAGTAAATTTGCGGATGACACCAAA